AGTTGCTCATCAGATGAGAGAACGTTTGGTATTTTGCCATCAAAATGGGCTTAGATGGGAACGAATTTACGTCCCATCAGGCATCCTGCTTGAATCTTTCAAGATAGGGTGCCATAGCTCTCATATACTCAGGACTTAATTCATGCTTCTTTTCAGCAGTCACATTCTTTCCTTTTTCAATTTCTTTTTCAGTTGGCTTCACTACTTCAGCAGGTTTTTCAATTTCCTTTTCAGGCTCACCCGCCTCATCAAGTCTTTTCTCAACTTCAGGAGATGAAAGTACTTTGCCACTTCTAGTTGTAATGGCCAAACAATCTTCCTTCGGATTAGTAACTGTGTTACTAGGAAAAGTACCTAGAGTTCTATCAGTAATTTGCTTAGCCAGTTGGCTAATTTGATTCTCCAAATTTCTGATAGATGCATGTGTTTTTGGTATTGGCTCTAGTCTCCTCCATAAAAGCACTAGAATGATGAGCCATTTGTCCTACCAGCTTCTCCAAATCAGAAGGTTCCTTAGACTGGATTAGTGGGGGCTGCAAATAATTGTTAGACTTGAAATCAAGACCAGTTCCCTGCACCCTCCTCTGAAAATTATTACTTCCAGAAGAAAAATTCTGATTTCTTGGAATATTTTGCGGCGGAGGTCTTTGATCATACCAAATGCCATTCACCTGCATTTGTTGAGGAGGATCAGAAGACAGCAAAGAAGGACATTCATTAGACTCATGATTGTCCTGGCAGTATTCACACACAACCGCAACAACTTTAGCTTGAACACCAGAAAGTTGCATCTTATCAAGCCTCGAAGTCAGATTTGCCATTTGCTGAGATAATAGCTTATTTTCAGCCAACACAACATCTTTACCTTCCAACTGAAGAATACCTCTCTTAAGCTTAGATGACAACCCTTCATTTTCATTGGCGGCCATTCTCTCAATCAGCTCGAGAGTCTCATTTGCTCTCAAAGATTTAATAGTACTACCCGCTGCACCATTCAACACCATTTGAATGTCAGGTTTACAACCGTTGAAGAAGATTCTCACTTGGTTGCCAGCAGTCAAGTTATAATGAGGACATCTCCTCATTAAATCCTTGAATCTGTTCCGAGCTCCACACATAGTTTCACCCTCTGATTGAGTGAAATTGGTGATATCATTCACCATCTGATTGTATCTCTCCATCGAGAAGAACTCAGCAAAGAACTTCTGAGATAAATCATCCCATGTAGGAATGCTAAGTGCAGGCTGTCTTTCCAACCAACTGAGAGCTTTTCCCTTAACATCAAAAGGAAATAATCGCAACCGGATTGCATCATTGGACACCTGAGGATGTTTAGTTGTGTCACATACCATAAGAAATCTGTCTATGAATCTATGAGGATCTTCATTCTCCTCTCCTCCAAACTGGGCTCTCTCCACCAATTGAATAGTGGAAGACTTAAGCTCCCAATTATTGTAATTGAATATAAAATAATATGTTGTGTATTGATCTAATTCAGAGAGTTACAATATATAGAGACCCTAATGGGCTTAAGTGAAAGGCCCAGACCTAATACAATCAGAATATTTACAGATAGGAAGTAATCCAATCATATCTAATCATATCTAATATATTCTAACACTCCCCCTCAAGCTGGTGCGTATATATTGTGAGCACCAAGCTTGTACAAATGTATTCTACCCGAGGACCTCTAAGAGCTTTAGTGAAGACATCTGCTAGTTGATCAGAAGAGTTGACGAAAGCTGTCTTGATTTCTCCTGACTGAATCTTTTTTCGAATGAAGTGACAATCAATCTCTATATGTTTGGTTCTCTCATGAAATACAGGATTAGAGGATATATGTAGCGCAGCTTGATTATCACAGATGAGTGTCATGGGTTGTTTCTGTTCACAAAGATGAAGCTCCTGAATCAACTGCTTTAACCAGATTAACTCACAGGTAGTGTTTGTCATTGCACGATACTTAGCTTCTGGACTAGATCGAGCAACAACAGGTTGTTTCTTGCTCTTCCACGAAATTAAGTTTCCTCCAAAGAAGACACAATAACCGAAAGTAGAGCGCCTGTCCGAGGGTGATCCTGCCCAATCAGCATCTGAATAACCACGAATTTCTGTATTTCCCTGATCTGAATACAACAAACCTTTTCCTGGTGCTCCTTTGATGTATCGGAGGATCCTCACAGCAGCATCCCAATGTGAATCACAAGGGGAATCAAGGAACTGACGAGCCGTACTAACAGCGAAAGAAATATCTGGCCTAGTCACAGTAAGATAATTGAGCTTCCCAATTAGCCTCCGATAACGTCCAGGATCAGATAACGGCTCCCCTTGTCCGGGCAATAACTTGACATTAGGATCCATTGGTGTATCAACTGGTTTACTCCCCAACATACCAGTTTCTTCTAGGATATCCAAGGCATACTTCCTTTGACAGATAAAAATGCCCTGTCTAGATTGCGCCACCTTAATTCCCAAGAAGTAACGCAGCTTCCCAAGGTCCTTTGTTTGAAATGCACTGAATAAATGTTGTTTTAACTGACGAAATCCGTCTTGATCACTTCCGGTGAGAATGATGTCGTCAACATAGACTAACAAATAGATGCACTTATCAGGAGATGTAATCCTATAAAATACAGAATGGTCAACTTTACTGTAGATTAAGCCAAAGGCCTGAACAGCAAAACTGAAGCGACTGAACCATGCTCGAGGAGACTGCTTGAGACCATATATAGGATTTTCGAAGACGACACACCTTCCCAGACTCCCCCTGAGCAACAAAACCAGGTGGTTGCTCTATGTAAACTTCTTGTAAATCACCACGAAGAAAGGCATTTTTGATGTCAAGTTGAAGGAGTGGCTAGTGACGAACAACAGCAAGAGCAAGAAATAGGCGAACTGACGTACCATCTTAGCGACCGGAGAGAATGTATCGCTATAATCAATGCCGAATATTTGAGTAAAACCCTTTGCAACTAGGCGTGCCTTGAGTCGATCAACATGGCCATCAGGTCCAACTTTTACAGTAAACATCCAGTGACAACCAACTATAGACTTCTCTGGAGAAACAGAAACAAGGTCCCAAGTGCCATTGGAATGAAGTGCAGTCATCTCATCAAGCATCGCTTGGCGCCACCCTGGATGGGAAAGTGCTTCACCTGTGGAAAACACTTAGAACAAAAGAGGGTTTAAAGCGAAAACAAGGTTTCTAAGCGGAAAACAATTAGATATGATTAGGTTTTAAAGCGAAAACAAGGTTTCTAAGCGGAAGCGAGGGTCCCTAGAACAAAAGAGCTCTGATACCAAATTGAATATAAAATAATATGTTGTGTATTGATCTAATTCAGAGCGTTACAATATATAGAGACCCTAATGGGCTTAAGTGAAAGGCCCATACCTAATACAATCAGAATATTTACAGATAGGAAGTAATCCAATCATATCTAATCATATCTAATCATATCTAACAATTGTTACCAATTATCGGATGAACAATGCTCGAGTTCGGCCTATTGAAAGCTGGAGTAAGAATAGTATCCATGAATGGATTGTCTGCATCATTATTTCCTGCCATGATTTGTGGTTCTTCAGGCAGAGTCTCTAACTCGTTGAATGCAAGCTTCTTCCGAGCGAGTTTTTTGTTTCTCCTTTCAGTCTTTGTAATCTCCGAATCAAATGGAAATTCTGCAGCTTTGCCTCGCATACAACTCAGAAAAGAGATTAGTAGCACTTTTTTTAAAAAAATAAAATAAATAAAAGAAAAAGAAAAATATTCACAAAATCCAATCTTAAGGATCAAGATTATACGATATAAGAAACGCCAATCCCCGGCAACGGCGCCAAAAACTTGATGCTACCCGGCAAGTGTACCGATCGCACAAGTAATATAATGATAAAAAAGTATCGTCTCCACAGGGATTGTGATCGAATATCAAATAATTGTCCTTTTAAGATGGAAGGAATTCAAATAGGTATGAGAAATATTGTTGAATTGATTAAAGATAAGAACTAAAAATAAAAACGTATTTTTAGGGTTTTTGTGATGAAAAATAAAAATAGAGATTGATTTGTAAAAATATGAGAAAGCATTGTAGCTAGAGTACACTTACCAAATGATCCCCACTTCTTACGCTGGATTGATTTACAGTACTCATTTACATAAATACTCAGATAATTTATCATCTAAAAATAATTAGTTAAATTCCAATCCCTTGGCAATCTAACCCTTTAACCCCAATTGGAACCGCAATCCCTTAGCAATCCCTCATGGAATTAAGCAATGAACACGATAACTAAAACATCTGCAACCAAATATACGTCTATTCCTAGCACGCATACAAATTGTTATCCTACTCCCTTTCAAAATCAAAATCCCAATAATCCTATCTAGGGTCCCAACCCTCAAACTACCATCAACTATTAGATTGATCAGTTCTAACAAAGAAGATAGAAATTACGCACAATATAATAAGCAAATATGTATATAAAATGCTCTTTTATGACTTAATTCTCATCATTTTCAGCTTGGAAAACTACATCTGCCAGAGGCACATCAACTCTCCCAATGCCCAAAGTCCCAAGATATTCCCTATACCTTGCAACCATTCCCTACCCTTCCTCACCTCACAAAACACACCCATAACAGAAAAAGTGAATATTATTCCCATAACCAACCACACGCTATTATTCCCATAACACCTTACAGTTATTAGGGACAGTAACAGACTGCTTGTGTCAAGTCCAATTTGATAAAGAACATGGAACATGTAAAAGGAGTGACATATATGATAAGGAGCTCCGCTTTTGGTTTTCATCATTACAAAAACTTGAATGCTGGCAGTGGTAGCTAATTAAAATATTACTTTTATCTGTGAAGTTTAAGATGGATATTCTAATCTGCTCTTGGATGAGTTGGTATGAAATTCTAATTTTTTTTATTTTTTTTTTAATTCTTGCAATAAAAAAATTGCAGAGAGTAATTTTGCATTAGATTTGGTTTCCAGGATGTGATGGAGCCCCCCTGTTGCCCTTGCTGTTTATTATTGTCAACATGGGCTTCAATATCTCATTGCTTCATCTCCTCAAGATCTCTTCAGCTGTTGTCTCTTGTCTAGCTTCCACATTTTCAGGTATGTGATGTGTTTCACTAGAATTATATCTATATTAATGAGGGAAGTATTCATGTAATCTCTAAGAGTTGCTGATGCAGAATGTGTTTGGGGTTAGGAAGATTGATGTTAGGTTTGGAACATTCAGGATTAGTTGCTGTACTGCAGACAACACTTGAATTTTTTTTCTCTTGTTTTTTTAAAACCGGTTATCAGGGAATTGTTTCTTTTTTTCTTTCTGGGGTTTTTAAGATTAGAGTTTCGGGACAGTACAGTCAGGGGGCATTTTCTTTATTTTATTTATTTTGGTAATAATGGGTATTTTCTTTAAAAAATAATATGGGCAAGAGATAGTATTATTTAGGGTTTTCAAGAAGAGAGGGTGGGGAGCTTTTGAATTCGTCTGTGAAAGTGAACAGTGGATAGTAAAGTCTCAGTGGAGGAAAATGAAGAACAGCTGTAACCCATTACGATTAGGAAATCATGGGAAAAATATTTGCAATTTCGGAAATATTGACTAAAGTCAGAAGGTATGGTTAATCTATGCTTAAAAGGTACCCAAAAATCAGCTCTATTAACTACTCTTCTATCTGTCACTAGATGTAAAATAAAGTTCTAAAAGAGAAGCATTATATAAGCCTGGTTTGCTTTTGAGCATATAAACTTAGGGAATAGATCTGACGACTATTCGTAGTTACTTTTTCTTCATCTAACGACTACAAAGAATAGATCTAGTTAGTAAAATATAATAGGTTGGCTCACAGCTATCATTTTACCTTAGCTATTTTGGCTGCCATTTCACATAATATGGTCTAGTCTGACCGGTCTACAAATTAGAAACTAGCCTAAATAATCTCAAATAGGAAGAGGAAATTGAAATAGTTTGCTTTTCTGTATTACTGTCCTTTTCATTCACATTAGAATATCATTTATTAGCTGTATTGGGAATTTTTGTAAAATAATTTTTAATTAATGCAATAGGTTTAGGTCTTTTAGTTAGTTCATTAATTAGACTATTCATTGCCTTCATTACCAGAGTTAATATCAAGTTTTAGTCAATGGTTATTTGAACTATTAGACTTATCAAAGACTTTCACTATAATGGTATGAATTTGATCATATCAATGGATAGTTGTTAGCCATGTTATAAAAACCGGATCGACGCAGCCAGGTCAACCTGGAAATCGGTCATGTAACCGATCCGGTTTTTATATTGGACTGGCCATGTTATAGAACCGGTGTGACCCGGCCGTTTGAAAACCGGTGACTCGGTCGGTTCAACCGGTGACCTAGCCTGGTTTGTAAAAAATAAATAAATAAATAAATTAGTTTGTTCTCATGAATTGATGTCTTCCTTTTTTTTCACTCTCAAACACAAATGGTTTATTTTTTTTTGAAATATTTGAGTCATTTGTAGCTTTTTAACTTACATAGATTATGTACCTACAATACTAATATTATTTTGATTATGCAATATGCAGAAAATTTTGATTTGATTTATAGTTAGAGATGTCGTTTACTGAACCTGAAACACCATTATCACAAATATTATATGTTTGATTGATCTTTTGTTAGACAATGATATGTAATTTATTATTTTTCATATTAAAATATTTGAAATTGGTATCTTTTTTTACAGGTATTTAAGTATATTTATAGTTTTTTTAATATAAATTATAGATTTATATATACTTACCGAGTCGAGTGATCCACTGATTAAACCAATGACCTAGTACCTCGACTCCGTCAATAACCAGGCCAGATTTAATAACATTGGTTGTTACATTGGTGAGTATTGTATTTTCTTGTGGGGGTTACGATTTGTCATTTTGCTCAAGGGTTCTTGGGTTGATAGGCTATTGTCCTTGTCTATTGTTAATAAAAATATGAAAATATGTTACTGGAGATCATGACACCTTGCAATATTATCTGAAATTTTTGAGTGGGAATTTACTGAAATAGTAAAGTTTTTTCTTCCATTTTAAAAGAATTTATAGTGTATTTAAATGCATGCTATTGGACATTGAGTTAAACCCAACTGATTCAATATGGCTTTTGTGGCAGTCCCAATATCTATCTATGTGTTTACGCTGCCATTGCCGTACGTTGGTGTTGCCTCTTCTCTTCCAACAGGTTTTCTTGCAGGGGCCATCATTCTGATCATGGGATTGCTCATTTATGCTTGGACCCCTTCAAGAGGTTCCTCCAGTGCTTCCTTCACGGCTTCCACCTAGAGACGCTAGGAGGGGTTCGAACCTCAATCATTGGTCCAAGCCCAAATAGGTTATATGCCAACTCGCATTACAGCATATAGTACAGCCAATGATTCCGGTCCACTCTTTCGTGATGGTAATTTTTGTTTCAACAAATAGCTAGTCCCGTGAAGAAAAGGAAATGGGAAGTGAAATCCTGCTGAGCTTGCTCAAGTGATAAAGAAAGAGTATGGATTAGTCCAGTTCAATTTTTTTGTAAACTTCGAGAAAAGAAAGAAAGAAAGAGAGGAGAGAGTATTTCATGGCTGGGAAACTCTGAAGAAAATGTCAAGGAGAGAATGTTAAAAAGGTTCTTATCAAGCATTTATTTCCTTTTTGTTGAATAGCATATTGTTGAGGAGCCAAGGAATGGGTTTTTGAGGGAGAAATGCGTTACACACTTACACATTCAGTTTTGGAAATATTTTTTAAATTTTATCATATAAAGAGAATTTGGACATTGTATTTTGGAATAGGTGTGAGTGGATTTTCTAACGTGTGTTAATTAAACATAATCATATTATGTTGGGAAGTTATAATTATATAAAGGTAGATTAATGATGATAAAGGAAGAAAAAAAATATGGAGATAGGTAGTTATAAAATTATCATCGTTGATTTTTTTGGTATGGTTAGGATTCTCTCAAATGATATGATCATGTTGATTAAATATGAGAAAATTTATTTTCATGTCGGTTTGTTTAGAAATTAGTTTATAGGCTTTCTTTTCCAATTCTTTGACAAGGTTTAACTAAGTCTATAGGATATTAAAAAAAAAAAAAAAGTCTATAGGATCTACACCAAAAAATAAATAAAATATATGGGATAGTTTATAATTTATTATTTATTTTAAATAAAATTATTATTTAAATAATTTTTTATAGTAAAATAACATTATTTTAATTATTTTTTAATTCTTGAAGTCTTAAACAAGTTAACGTATCTAGGTCATGTCTATAGATATTAAAATATAGGTAAAGGCAGATCTATATTATTAAATTAATAGATTAGGTCAGATTAATGAAATGTACAATCTTCATGTGATACTCATTAGCTATCTCGGATTCACGTATTTTGGGTAGTACAATAAATGCTGATAATAGAAACGATAACATATTTACCAAAAAAAGAAAATATAAAAAAAGAAGAAAGAAACGATGACATTGAAATGATTTAGCAACTTTTAGGACAAAATTGACACAAGTCAAACAATTGGAACAAAATTAAATCATGACTCCAAACATTAGGAACTTATAACCTATGAAGCACCGACACTTCAAAATCCTTGACGTGTCGTATCCGACACTTTTCGACACTCTAATACTCATTGCAAAGACTAAAAAATGGTCAGAGTTTATGTTGCTGAGCTCAAACTATTAGATTCGTTAGATTACGATTACTATTTTATTGAGTATAATATAAACATTTTGAATATCTTATGTTTCTTTACAAAATTGATGTGTATTATAAGTTTAACTTTATTTTTTTGTTAAATTATTGAATATTAAATATAATATACACTACATAAATTAAAAATAATATATAATATCAAAAAGTGTCATAACGTGTCAAAATTTAACATTTTTTAGAATTAACGTGTCGGAGTGTCGTATCCTCTGTCGGTGTCGGTGCAACATAGCTTATAACTTGTTTGGTAAATTTGTTCTAAAATATATTTTTAGAATGAAAAAAGAGAAGATTCATTTGATTAGTAAACTTTTTCTTCTTAAATTCATTTTCTGAATTTTTTTCAACTGTATTTTTTTTAGAATAACATGTTATTACTGGTTTTTTTATTTTAAATTGATTTTTTTAAATTAATTATGTATATCTTCTTTATAAAATTAATATTTTTTTACTTTTAATTTATATTCAATTAGTTATAGTTTTCATATATCTAAACATTTTTTAGCTTAATTTTTGTCTCCTTTAATTTTTAATTTTTTATATTTTCCATATAGGTGAAGATTTTTGAAATTGTGGGTTATGATGCACCGACGCTTCAAAAAATCTAACGTGTCATGTTCGACACTTCCTGACATTCCAACAATCCAACACGCATTGCAGAGCCTCAAAAAAGGGACCAAAGGTTGCGTTGCATTGCGTTTTTAGTTTCAATTATTATGTTCGTTGGATTACGATTACCATTTTATTAAGTTTAATATACATATTTGTGATATCTTATATTTCTTTACAAAATTGATGGGTATTATAAGTTTAGCTTTAATTTTTTTATTAAATTATTAAATATTAAATATAATATACACTACACAAATTAAAAATATTATTTAATATCAAAATGTGTTCTAACGTGTCGAAATATAATATTTTTTAGAATTAATATATCGGAGTGTCGAATCGTATCGTATCGTGTCTTGTGTCGATGTCGATGCAACATAGGTGATGGGAAGCTCATTGATATATAAGGGTGCGAACTACTCTTAAGTTGAAAACAAATTTTAGGAATAAAAGTTGAACAAGAATGATTTACCCTCAAATACAACGCAATTTAAAATAAGTTTCTTGAGCTTGTTTACAATGAGAAAGCCTATGTTAGAGTCCTTTGTTGCCATGTTAGAGTTGTCAGTAAGTGAGAATGACTTACATCACTCGTCTGGTGCTGCCGCAATCAACAAGAAGCAATGGTTTTTAGCCGGTAACAGTGGCAAATCCATGTTAGAGTTGCCAGTAAGTGAGAATGACTTACATCACTCGTCTGGTGCTGCCGCAATCAACATGAAGCAATGGTTTTTAGCCGAAAACAGTGGCAAATCACTATAGGGAAGACAAGGAAGACGGGGGGGGGGGCTCGTCTGGTGCTGCCGCAATCAACATGAAGCAATGGTTTTTAGCCGAAAACAGTGGCAAATCACTATAGGGAAGACAAGGAAGACGGGGGGGTGGGGTTAGGAAAGCAACCCAAAGGATTGAGAGATTTTTGGTGTTTTTTATTGTTCAAACTTTAATATTGTAGGATCAATCAATAATTACATATTTACCATTAATGAAAACAATAGTTTAGCCTCGCACATTGTAACACCCCGTCTCAAGCCAGTTTCTTAACATACATTATGGTATTAAGTGCAACTAATTAGTCAAATAAACGCGAAAGCTAATCATATTAATTCACAATTAAACTCGTATAAGTGAATAACTTTTTTTCCTTATGTATTGCAAAACGCGGAAATAATAACATCTATATCCTTTATTATATTTGTTGAACCATATAACAACCTTAATTCTCATGTTATGTGAAATTGAGAGTTAAGTGGGACAGTTTGTGAATTTTGTGATAGTTAAGAAAATTATAACCGTTGAATCATGAAATTATCATGACAAGGAATGTGAGGAAGCAATTCATGCCTAACAAGTTGTAACACCCCATGTGCACCTGGTGTATTAACATACAAATGGTATTAAGTGCAGCTCATTATAAATGTGGAAGCTAAAATTTCAAATTATGAATCTTTAATGTTAACCAAGTGAATTTACTTATTCTTTTCCAAAAAACGGCCTGTATGTAATTTGCAATAAAGAATTACACTGAATAACCTCATTTCATAAATATAGTATCAAGTCATGGAACTACAACATGTAAAACAGACAATATCCTGATACAGCTTATAAAACTCAAGTATGCAATAAACACAAATTATTCAAATGTGGCATGAACAACCCCCATGCTCCTAAAAAAAATAACAGTGTTATATCTTGTCTCAGGTATAATAGCCATATATAAACACAACGCAGAATCATATCTAAAACGATAACAAAGAAACATGCATAATATTAGCTCAACTCCAGCCTCCTGCCACTAGAGTCTCAGCCTCAGGAACACCTATACCTGAAAATGTGCTCCACACGAGGTGAGATCTCTAACAGAAATCTCAGTAAGACAAGAGGTCCTCGAGGACTCTTTCGCTCCCCAAGCTCACTTACATGTTTATAGTAAGTTCAAAATAATAAATAAAATGCATGTTCATGTTAAAGCAGTATAATAGAGAACTATATCTTAATTCTTAGAAAATCATGTACCATAGTACATATCTCATGTGATGTATGTAAGTGCAGTTCAACTAGCCAAAGAACAGGATAGACATTACGCTCGTCTGCAACCTACCTAAACATGAGGGTCGCTGCCTCATGCTTTACACACCAGGGTTGCTGCCTGATCGTGTAAGTACCCAACATCACATCCATACATTCCATCAACAGGCATATCCACATATTTCAAATAAATAACAATGCATATATCATTTTCATAAAAGCATACCATGCACATAAACCACCCTCCCATGGAGGTCAGTGGAACAAATAGAGGATAAATCCGAGAACCAGAAGCTTACTTGTCAAGCTAAACCCTCCCTCAACGACTCGGTGTCCAAAGGGTCACAAGTAATAACAGTGTCTAGCAAGGTCACAGATATGTTTTCATAACATTCGTACTATTAATAAACATATCCTAGCTTTTCAGATTAAAAGAACATTATTTCTTTTTTGTTTCGCTACTGGAGGCTCTTTCCAAAGCCTCAAGCATTCACCCACTTGGGTTCTGACTTAGTTAAATTATTACAGAGGCTCACATTAACCATTAAAGGATCCTAATTCATCATACTCGGTTCTGTTTGGACAAAACAACACAAAATACGAAAATCCCAGAATATCCGGATATCCCTGGGCCATTATCCGGATATCACATATTCGGATATCCTTCAGCCCATATCCGGATATTCATATTCGGATATTTCGCGACAACATGCAGTTTTGCATTTTCGCGAAGATATCTGATGGGACGAAAATTCATCCCATCTAAGCTCATTTTGATGGAAAAATTCCTTCTGTTCCTTCATCTGGTGACCATTTTTTGCTTTAAAAACACATTTCTATATCTTAGTAACAAAAGCACCAGAAAGGAACGGATGATGATGTCATCAGTTGAGAATGCAAGAAAAGGGGAATAGATTGACTCATTAATACACATGCTCCACTAACCCTATCTTTCTGACCACTTTGCAGGAAATGTTGAAAAGAAGCTTCCAAAAAGTAGAAAGAAGTACAACAATCAAGCAGGAAGAAACGTGTACAGCAGAGAATAAAGAGTTACCATTGGGTGAGAGAAAAAGCAAGCATGGGGAATTCAGCAGAAAAGGCAAATCTCAACAATAAGTTGTCCTATCCAGCAACTTGCTTCACAAAAGAGCACTATTCACACTGCCTCCTCATGCAGTCAAGAAACAACTCAAGTAGAATTACTAGTTTTTCCATCCACTCTTCTGGCCTATAAATATGACGTTCCAACACGAAGAAAGCATCGAATTCCTTAAGGAGAGATCACTTAGGATAGTTTCATTTTCTATTTTTCTGTTGTATAGTTTTAACAATAGTTAAGTGACAACAACGCTTCCCCCATTCTCTTTCCACCATTTGAGACTCCTCACGAGCAGCAACCATACTTCTCAATTTTATTTCCTTGTA